ATCGTCTGGAGCATATATTTCTGTCACTTCACATAAGTTTTGGATTTTTCTATCATGGACGGATTCCCCGGTCAAAAATTCATCCTTGAGCAAGAAGACATTTATATATCATTGCCTTTCCTTTGTTTTTTGCCTTCATTTCTTCACAAATCGCTTTGTTGAATATCGCGCTCCAATGCCAAACTCGTGTGCATGCGTAGTATTCAGCTCCAACTTGATTTTCTTTCTTATCTCACGTTTTTTCCTTCAAACTGGTAAATCTTTCTTGTTTTCATCTGCTTCTAAGTAGGTAGGTCAAAGGGGACTTCGTAAAAATACCGAAAGACAGGGAAAACTTCGTTTTCAAACATCCTAGAAACCGACTCGTGGCGAACCCTGGTTACCGTCTCCTACATCCGGTTCCTTCTTTTGGGATGAATCCCTCGCCCGCCTCCCCAACAATCTCCAAGGCCTGAAACGCTAAAAAAACACTTTTTTGACTTTCCAAGCGCAGTACCGGACCCAGCTGATTCAAAACGCCATGAAGTCGTGAAAAGCCCGCAGTCGCGATTCTCCCAAGCCACTGCCTTTCACAATTTGGAAAATGAGTTTTCCCCAGGCGCCGAAATCACCAAAAATGCCGAGGAGCTTGCAAGCGCCTCATTCCATAAATAGAAGAGCACATCCATCTCAAACCACTCATTCTTTGACCTTTTCACGTGTCCGGAAATCGAACGGCGCGACATGTCTTCCGTCCACGCATTCACGAGAATGCTCATTCATGAGGAAAGCGTGAATAATTATTCAACAACGCGGAGAGCATAAGCGCGCAAAGCATTCAATATAGCAAGCGTTACTAATCGCTAGACTCATCATCGAGAATATCAAAGTATTTATAAGTTTTTATTGTATATATACAATCAAAGCTGCAAACTGTACAGTGAACAAAAATGAAAAAAGAATGCAACTTAAGTAGGGCAGCATATTACAATATAAGACCACATAATAATCTGGGATTTTGGTAAGATATCTCTTCTCAGGGCAATAGCAGTAGCACTTCTGGGAATACGAAAAAGTGAAAAAATTGACATAACCAAAATTAGACTCCTAAGGAGCAAAAAAGGATACAATACAAATCTTTGGGATAATTTGCCATGCTCAACAACAAAAAAATTATACGACTAGGCCATAATATCAAACAAAAAAATTATAAAATGTGCACTAAAATTGACCCTACAAAAACAATGGAGCAAAATTAGTACAATTGACCTACACAATTCTAATAAAGGATACACGTTAAAGTTCACATACACGACGACAGCACTAAATTGGGATGTCGATGAACCGATAACAATGGCAAACGTTCGGGAGATAAATGTGACTCGATTCAGGATGACAATGAATGCCAAAAATAGGAAAGTATTACAGATCCTAAACTCTCAAAGCTCTACAAATGGAGGGAATGGCAGAAAAACGAAACCTCGGTGAGCCGAATTACACGAAGGAGGTAAGAGAATTGAAAACTTTTCGGGAAAGCATTCACTAAAAAACAAAAGCAAAAGGAGAAAAAGAGATGAAGACTAGATGATACCCTGCATGAAGGAGGTATCGTAACTAGTTATCAGCGTTTTTAGAAAAGTCATTTCACGTCGAGTGTTCTCAAAAATCACACGTGGATCTTCGCTTTCACATCTGAATATCAAAGTTCGTGTTAAGCCAGAGAGGGAATGAATGTCATTCAAAGAGAATCCAAAGCAGACAAAAACCAAATGTGATTCGAATGGATGGCAATATCTTGAACAATATTTTGATAGTTCATGTAAGATTGAAGAATTCTGGGCAACTAAAGTTTGATAACCGACTCATAGCGGATGATATAAAAGAAGTGCATCTTTGAGTCAAAGACGATCCTGGACTAAGGTTTGCCTCGAAGCTATTAAGTCGATAAGTAATGAAAGAGGGAATTAGACACATAAAAATCGAATATCTCGGAAATGTGTAAGTTATGAAACTGGAAAGTGCAAGTAAAGTATGAAGTGCGGTGCATAAATAAAATACAGAACTGAAAATGTACTGAAAGTCATACCTGAGCACATTGGGAGCCATCACCATAGCAAGATTAGAGACATCCATTTTGGTGTGAGCAACAACTTCCTCGCGTGAAAGATCCTGGAAAAGAGAAAAAGTTTAAAACCCTGAATAACCGCAAAAGAATTAAAAACTTACCTGCAAGAAAGAAATCAGTTTTCCCAATACCAGTTGGTTTGTAGTGGGTAACACTTGAACCAGCCGTGTAACTTCAACGGGATTTTCTGACGCAGCAAGAGCACGCTGATAAAATGCATGCGGGATGAGGGGTTCGGGAAGTTGGCGTAACCACAATTTCAATAATCCGGCTGGTACGTGCGGATCATGTACCACAGGTGGAACAAACATATCCAATCGAGCTTTAGCGGTCATCAGTTGATCCGGATCAGCAGGTACTCTAAATAGGGGTGATTTGCTCCCAGGCAGAAGTCAAAATGAAATTCCATTTGAGGATGGTGATGGACAGAATTTACCTGAAGAGTCCTTCTGTTCTCGTCGCCCCTGATCCATAGAGAAGCTCAATGAGAGTGGTTTCAATCCATGGTAATCGCCGCTCAGGAAACCGTTCAGCTTGCATTTCCATCAGCTCGAAAAGCGAAGCAGAAAACTGTGGCGGATTGAAAATGTGGACCTAGAAAAAAATACGCACTGATTTTTTTACTGATTCATGGAAAAGCCAAGAGATTCAGGTATGCAAAGCGCCGAAAAAATGATGTGATCGTCCTACCCTTGCTTCTTGTACACCTGCAAGTGTTGGCTTCATTCGAGGTTGTGATTTTGACATGCGCTTAGCGCATTGCTGGGCAAAATGAGACACAGCGACCTGTAAAAATTTTAATATATCGTAATTCTAGGCTTTAAACACGAAAAATGAAAAGAAATGACGAACCTCAGGTCTGTCAAAGAGTTTCTCAGAGTTCCTATCAATGAATTCCGATAACAAGGCTGCTTCCTTCTCTGACGGCATGACAAAGCTCAAAAATATTGCCAACAGCTCCCATCCACGCCTGAAGAACAGTATTCTGCTTTTAGCTTGGTATTTTCAAAACGAAAATTTGAAGTGAAAAAAATGTATAACAATCTAAGCCATACCTGACACTGTCAGGTCGTTCGTTATCGGTAAGCTGTTGCATAAGTTGAGCTACTGCCTCATCGGCACATTCCTGTTTCGACAGACCAAGCTCACAAAGGCTTAACGCTAACTAAATGGAGTAAAACTGACAGCTAGCAAAAAAAAAATAAAAAAAGCATGTTGAACTATTATGTGAACCTTCATCAGGCCTAACCTGATCAATCGGCGTTTTACTCTTTCGATCCCCCATATAGCCCTGAATGAGCTTGAAAATCGTCGGTGAGTCTTTTTTCAGCTGCTTGTTATCCGGAGCAGATAGTGGCTGTTTAGGGGCTTCTTTAGCCCATCCTACAAAGACAAAGCAAACATGTTCGGCGACTTTTCAAGTGCACTGGAAAGGCTACCTCCTGTATTAGTGGATTTTTTGGGACCCGTATTCGTTGAGAAGAGCTGCCGCTTTTGAGTCGGTGGACTTGAAGATCTGAAAAAGGACAAAATGAGCAAAAAAGGGCCCGAACGCGCAGTCTTCTTTCAAATGCTTATTATCCGAAGCAATTAGCGCTTGTTTACGGTGAGAATGCGATTTTGGGAAACGACCAGTGGAAGAAACTTCAGCTAAGGAAGCAGATGGAATGTTCAAGTATAATAAAGATTCTGCAGACTAAAGTCAGATCATGTCATGAACCAAAAGGAAAACAGCAGAAAAACCAGAACGGAAAGAACATAAACTTAAGAAAAATTAAGTGACATAAACATACCGAGATGACCGTGGCGGAATCGAATCCGCCGAAGGAGCAGTAGACATCGTTGATGTCGTACCCATAGTGGGAAAAGGAGGAAATTGACGTGGAGATCTACCAAAATCCCTATTATTATAGTCGCGATAGTCGCATCGTTCACCTATTGATAGCGTGTCGCTTTGATCGTCTAAGGACATCCACTAGAACGAATTGAACCATTATTCAAGAACAGAACAGGCGAAAAAGGAAACTAGTTTGGATAAATTAAGGTGAGGAAAACGGCGAACTTCTCTATTTGGCAAAAACTCACATCAAAGGACTGTTGCATGCCATTCATGGTACCGTTGGACGATCGGCTAGCCGTCCTGGTCATGATTATTCCAGTCTCTGGACCGATATTTTGGGC